ACAGGACACCCTGTATCAGTGGCGACGCCAGGGGGGGACCAGAGGGGGCCGGGGCCCCCACTGAAATTTAGCTGGCCCCCCTGAAAACTTGCTCTCATGTCGGCAACAATGCAATGCAATGCAATTCAACATCAGCAGCCTCTGCTGGTTAATTCGGTGGGTACAGGCCAATAATCGTTAACTAACAGGATTGCTCATCCTCATAAGGCGTACGTTCGCCAATTCTCGAGTCAGCAGGGCCTGCGAGTGACGTCAATACCAATTAGCAGCTTATAGTAATGACGTCACCCGCAGGCCTCGATGGGATGCTTGCGATTCAGGGGATCACGACAAGTAAAATTCTACATTCATGACATCACCCCTATATAACGCGTACAGTACAGGCAATAATGACGGTTGCTAGGCAACCTGACGTCATGAAAGTAGAATTCTAGTGAAATTCTACTTGTCCAGGGCTGGGATCACGATAAGTAGAATTATACTAGAATTCTACTTTCATGACGTCAGGTTGCCTAGCAACCGTCATCATCGCGTGTACTGTACGGACTGTCAGTCCTAGGTTAAGTGTTCTTGGGCACAGGCATACACGATGCTACTTTCGCTTTTCTGGGATTCCCCCAGACATATAAGTGTTGACAGGTACTTCCCATTCTTTATTCCAAAGAAGAAAAGCAATAAAATAGGAAAAAGTGCCCCCCTCAATTTTTCTGGCCCAGTCTGGCCCCCCCTAACATAAAACCCTGGCGTCGCCACTGCCCTGTATAGTGCCAAAAAGATGTACAACCATTTGCCTAATGAATTAAAGGATATAAATGATTTTAAAGGATATAATAAAAAATGTTCCATTCTTGTCGGGCATATTATAATGTGTCAGAATATTTTACCAATTTTGAAGAATGTTTTTTTTTTTTTTTTTTTTAATTTAATTTTTTTGCTGCATGAACCTCGTTATGAACATCAATGTCTTTGTTGTTGATTGTAGTGTCCATTGTTATTTTTAGGTATTTTACCTTTATATAATTATTATGACAACCTGATTTATTTGACTAGTTTGTACATACTTATACTTTAGTGGTTTATTGTATGTATTCTGATTCTGTTTATTGTATCATTTTGCTAGTACTATTTTATTAATTAGATGGTAATAAGACTTAGCTTTGTCAGTAAATAATATTATTTTGGACAATAAACCTTTTTTCAAATTTGAATTTGATAAAGTACATCAGGCAAAAAAAAAACAAAAAACTTGCATCTGGATCTTCAGTTGCCAAAAACAGGTTTGTGAGTTATTTGATTTTGTGGCATATGTCTGCATTCTCACATTTGCCAAGAGGTGGTTGAAAATCTTTTATAAATGAAATTATTCTTTAATGATTCAAGAATGGGACATGGGGTAACTTCATGACAGTTTTGTCGAGTGCCATAATTATACACCTCAAATTTTCATAGTAGAGAGTGCATATTTTGATTCCAATAGAAAGGGGATGACAGAATTCAAGCCGACTAGCCTTGCAGAGATAATCGAGTAAACCCTTCTGCTACAGAAACCTGTAACTGAACAGGTGCCCGCTAGCAGAGCTGGGCAGGGCTTGAGTGCTTTGTGCTTGCGAAAGTGCTTGAAGCACTTTGAGGACTTGAAAGCCCTGTGCTTCAAGCCCTTTTATAGATTTGTAATTGGGGCTTGCAAAGTCAATTACTTTAAAAAAGTGCTTGGTAATTTGTAATTGAAAAAAGTAATTCAAGCCCTTTCAATGGGCTTCAATTACTTTTAGAGGGCTTGAAGCACTTTTGGGAGCTTGAAGCCCTTTGAAAGGGCTTGAAGCACTTTAGGAGGGCTTGAAGCACTTTTGGGAGCTTGAAGCACTTTGAAAGGGCTTGAAGCACTTTGAAAGGGCTTGAAGCACTTTGAAAGGAATTTGAATTGACCATCATTCAACCTATCCCCCACTTAAAAATTTTCGATCGTATTTTGTTCTTTAATTTTTTTTTCTATTATTTGAACTTGAACCATCTTATGTCTTTTCTCTCTTAACAATGGAGGTTTTGGGTTTGAGCTTAGAATGGAATTTAAAAAAAAAAAAATGAATGAACTTATTATTCAAATAAATAATTAATTTATATTGGTATCCTATTTAACTTTATAACTGGATTTTTTTCACTTTTCCCCATTGAACATTTTGAAAACCTTAAAATTGAATTACCATGTAGTACCCCAACTACCGCAAGTACCTACCCCAGAACTACATCTCAAAAAAAAACATACTACTGCTCAGAGCTGGGCAAAGCACTTGAAAAAAGTGCTTGGAGCACCAAGCACCAAGCCTTTAGGAAAAGGAATTGCCAGCATCAAGCACCAAGCACTTTGGAAATTCTTAGTGCTTGCAATTACTAATTACCAAGGAAAGTAATTGCACAATTCAATTACCAAGCACCAATTACTCAAAAAGTGCTTGAAATTATTGTTGATTACTTGCAGGTGTTTGCAAGCACTTTTTTCTCTTTTAAAATAAAGATGTTGCTGAATTGGGGTCTGGAGAAAAAGCAATTTCAAACGTAATAAGTTTGGTTGATGTGATGATAGTTATAATAAAATGATCAAACCAAAGTTTTTTGTCCTTAATTTATTACTAGTCTTCGTCTCTTCACTCTACATACACTACACTACACTGTATCATCGAATATTACCATTATTATAACTAAAGATAAAGACTAATAAACTGTGGTAGTATAGTGACATTGGCAATCGCCAGTTAGCATACACCTTAACACAACACAACACACAACACAAATGTTTCCATATTGCCGACGCCAAAACGGCCTTCAACCAGCCAATCACATTAAGGCTTATGCTGCTGCGTTAAGTTGTTACTTGATTTTTAGTGCTTGCAAGCCTTTAAAGTGCTTGCAAGCTCTTTTGAGTGCTTGCAAGCACTTTAAGTGAAAATCAATTACCAATTACCAAGCACTTTTTATAGAGGGCTTCGATTACCAATTACCGAGCACTGTATTTTAAAAGTGCTTGCAAGCACTGTGCTCGAAGCACTATTGTGCTTGAAGCACTTTTTCGAGCACTTTCAAGGCAATTACTGCCCAGCTCTGCTACTGCTACTCTGTGAAATGTAAAGTTCGTCTCTACTATACCAATTCTGTGTGATGAGTGTACGCGGTAGCTTATGCCACTTTGAAAATTTTATTACAAATTCAAAGTGCTTTAGGCACATATAAAGAGCTTCAAGCACATTTAAAAAGCTTGAAGCACATTTAAAGAGCTTGAAGCCCTTTTCAAGGCACCCCAAGCACTTTTGATGTGCTTCAAGCACTTTTCAAATCACTTTGAGGGCTTTGTGCTTGTCAAGCCCAAAGCACTTTGAGGGCTTTGTGCTTGTGAAGCACTTTTGAAAATAAAAAGGAATTTGTGCTTGAAATTGAAGCACTTTGATAGAGGGCTTAGGGCTTAGTGCTTCAAGCCCTTTTACTGAGGGCTTTGCCCAGCTCTGCCCGCTAGCACCACACAGTATAATTTTTCTTCTTAGGGTATAGTACCCAGACAGTTGCACATATTGAAAATATGGTTTTCAAATTTCAAACATTGGTCTGTGGAAAGGAATTTGTTGCTTAGGATTGGAGATTGCTTTACATTCCAGACAGGCATTTTAAGATCAGAATATTTGTCTTCAATATTTTGAGGGACAAATTGGTTCTTTGGGTTGAGTGATAGGCATAACTGGCTGACCGGGAATGCCTCAGATTTGATGCCGACATTCAAGCACAAGGAGTTCTCCTTTTGGAGTCAGGGTTTCCAATTTCCTACCTTTATCTAGTCACATTACAGCTTTGGGAGGCCAATATGTTGAAAACAAAATAAGAGATCAGCTGGAGTGTATTTAGAAATGGAGTGTGAAGGTAGAGTAATTGTTTGTCAGAGTGTTCTGACGTCATCACTTGGAGTGTACTCTGGGTGTGCTATTTCTGAACGTATTGGGGCGTTGCGGTGAATGTCAATGTCATGAATCATGACAAACCCAGTAAAAACCAATGTAAAAACCGCGGAGCCTTTTCCAACCCAGTCCAGTGGGGTAATTTGGGCGCACTCTGGGCACGTCAACTCTCGATTTCTGAACGATTCCAGCGTAACGCTCTGGGTAAGCACTAAGCACTTGTAAATTTATGAACGGTTTAGAGTTACTCTAGGTTCACTCTCGCATCCAGAGTGCTATTTCTAAACGCAACCCTGGTGTTGCATGCATGGTTTCGTGCACGTGACGTCACTAAATTGACACTAGAGGTAAGACAGAGTATTGTTTTTACAGTCTACAACGGTACAATACGAGGGTATTTTGACCCTATTCTACATATACTATCCTAGGAAGTGAATTGTATTTCAATTAGAAACAATTTTTCAAAAGATTAGGAGAGCTAGACGGTGAAATTTCAAAAATACACTAACTTCAAGGTCATGTTACCTCCAATGTGGTCACGTGACACACGAAACCCATATAGATGTCTAACTGATAAAGAATTTTAGTTATTATTAGTGACTTGTTAGTTCAAAGTTCAAAGTTTATTCATCATGCTACATAATTAAGAAAAATTAATTTAGCATGCATATGTGTGGTTAGTTAATTATTAATTAGTTAAGTAATTATCTAAAGTGTTTCACCTGTGAAAGTGGCTATTATATGTTTTTTAGGAATAAATTGTCTGGATTTGATTGTCTCCCATTGTTACCTTTGTCTTCTCTTGAAAATAAAAATTTTCCTTATTGAAATTCACTATAACATAATAATTCAAAGTATTACAAAACTTGTAAATTGAAAGGAACAATCACCCCTGTTCAGGCCCCAAATGAAAAAGTTTGTATTCACAAAGTGATATGGCATTCTGCTTAAAATAGACGGATGCAGCAAACACAAGTGGACAAAATTGGGGGGTGACCAGCACTGGATACTAATAATTGATTTTTGATGATGATTATAAAATTTAAAAAAAAAAAAACTCACCAACTCTTGACCTTTTCTGCTGGTGTAATGAGTAAAGAATCTAAAGCCGTCTTCCCCAAATCCTTTCAACAGTACTAAACGTCCGGATGGTGCACCGTCTCTAAAAAGAAATAAACAACAATGTAGGTAGTTTCATACTATAGATAATTAAAATTCATATCGTGTAGGAACCTACTTTGAACTGGTGGACAGGTGCATGGCGTTAGGTTCCACTGTTCTGGGGTCTTCCTTGACTTGCTGAAACCACTTTCGGAATAAATCAAACGGTTCCTTCTTTTCCATTTCTTCCTCTAGAAAAAGGTCCTGCCTTCCATGGAAACCATGGTGTAATCCTAAAATTGTATTTTTTTCAAGCATTATATTTTGAAACACTGAATTGTGAATTATTTTGACCTCAATAAAGTAATTTGCTGATGCAAGTTATCGAAAATAGTAAAGCCCTATAGATCAGAATATGGCCGTCCGAATTGCTAGAGACAAAAATATGGAAGTTGTGTAGTTGATTACCGAAATAAGCTGAATATTTTGATTGGTTAGTGGAATAATAATAAATATTTATAAATGCGGACAGATATTGTTTCAAAATTGCATCAAGAGCCTGGCCAGATTCCAAGAATACAGTTGTTCATGTCTGTCTCTGTGCGACTTATCAGAGATTTCTATTGTCAAGTCGAAAATTTTTACTCCAAGGACAGGTTTTCAATAATTCTATTGTATTCGAGAAAGCAGGTTCTTCTAGAGAACTTCCGATCACAATGTCGGCTATCAATAGCGCATAGTAGTCAGTTTGCAGTCAGTTTTAAATACGAGATTTATTTAAAAAAAAAATAATTCTCGAAAACACAATAGGTTGTATAAGTTGTATATATTTCAGACTTAAAACAGAGTTTCATAGCGTTATCAAAATCTTAAATCTAGGTTACAATCAATTACAATTACAATTATTAAAATACTATATCACTTAATGGGTATATCACATCTGTATAAATTTTTTTAAACATTCTTTATAAAAGGACAGTCCTAAGTAACTATGGACGGTTAAGACTATTTAAAACTAGTTAAAAATCCAAATCTGTGACCTGATATTGCAAAAATACTTCTATTGAATAAAAGCACTTACTTAACAAGAATTGCTTGATTTTATTTTTAAATGGTTTTATTGGAATGTTTCGTATTGTAGGGGGCAGTTTGTTGAAAAATGCCAGTGCATAATATCGCGTTGCGCTCCAGGAGGTTTTTAAGCGTGAAAAGTCAATCTGCACGTTATAACGTTGGCGAGTGTTGTAATTATGGACCTCTTTGGCACAAGTGTAGTTTGAAGAGTTGCTATGAAAAGATAGTAGAGACTCTAGGATATATTGTGCTGGAAGAGTTAATATTTTTAGGTCCCTAAAGGATGGTTTGACATCATCTCGGTATTTGATGCCGGCTACAATTCTGACTGCTCTTCTCTGCAGATCAAAGATGCGAGAGGCATGACATGAGTGTCCCCATGCTAGGAGTCCATAGACGCTCACTGAATGAAATAGACCATAATATGCCATTTTTGATGTTTCTTTATCTAAAATTTTCGATATATTACGAAGAACATAGATTGCGGAGCAAAGTTTTTTTGAAATAATGTTGACATGCTGCTCAAAAGTCAGCTTCGCGTCCAATATAACTCCTAAAAATTTGATTTTTTCTGGGTTGTCTTGAATTGTAGTTTTCTTGAGAGAGAAGATCATGTTTCCTGTTTTACTTTGGTTGACATTGAGTAGATTGGAGTTGAACCAGTCAACAGCAGTTTCGACATGTCTCGTCATCTCCATTTTGGCAACGTCCAGTGTTTTGGCGTTTATGGAGAGTCCATTATCGTCCGCATAGATAACAACCTGGCATCCGGACAGGGCAGCTGCACAGTCATTTATGTATATAAGGAACAACAGTGGCCCCAGTACCGATCCCTGAACCACGCCGTGCCTCATGACTCTCTCCTCTGAGCGCCTACCCTCCATCTCCGTGATCTGCCTTCGTCCCGAGAGGTACCCAAATATCAGTTTCACGCTGAATTCACAGAGCCTCTAGTATTTTAATTTTTCTATTAGAATATCATGTGATAAACAGTCGAAGGCTTTGGAGAGGTCACAGAAGGTGTGTAGTTTAAATTATAAATAAATGGCAAATAAATTTTACAAAGATTGTATCTCTCGACATCCTTATGAAATTTCTTTGCAAAGTATTTATAATTAGGCCAAGATATCGAGTGAGATATGTCAAAAATGGCGCAAGCAAATGAGATCAATCAATATATATACAGGGTGTCCGGAAAGTCAACGATAATACTGAAAGGGCTGATGGAGCAACTCATTATAGCATCCAGAAAAACATAATATGACCTTAGTAAAAAATCGATGGTTTCCGAGATATTGTCACTTTAATAAAATTCGTTAAAATCGTCCTCCTGGATTAGATTTTCGAGTGTTACCTTAAAATTTTCATTATTTTTAGATTCTGAGTTTTGCAATGGTGAATAGACATTTCATTTGTCATAAACCAACATTAAAAGTCAAAGTTCAAAAAACATTTTATAAAAAAATCTTTTTAAACTGAAGTATGGCTTATTTTTATTTTCCATCACTGAAATGTTTGGAACTTTGACTTTTAATGTTGGTCTATGACAAATGAAATGTCTATTCACCATTGCAAAACTGAATTCAGAATCTAAAAATAATGGAAATTTTAAGGTGACACTCGAAAATCTGATCCAAGAAGACGATTTTAACGAATTTTATTAAAGTGACAATATCTCGGAAACCATCGATTTTTTACCTAGGTAATATTATGTTTTTCTGGATGCTAATTAGTTGCTCCATCACCCCCTTCAGTATTATCGTTGACTTTCCGGACACCCTGTATATACAGTGCGGCCGTAAAATAAGGAATAAATTCAATAATTATTCTTCTAAGCAATTTTTTTTAAAATCCTCGAAAACGTCAATTCAATTTTTTGTCGAGCATTTTTTAAAAAATAAAATTAATATACAGGGTGGTCGCAAAAAAGCTGAACAGGTAGTAACTTAATTTTTTTAAATAGATACCCCTAATTTTTTTTACATTTTCGGATTTCTGATAAAATTCTAAGTATTTTTCATAAAACATGTCCTATACCTAAATTCAACTGTTTAGGAAATATTGACAGTTGACAATTGACTTTTTTGCAACTTTGAGAGGCTGTAAAACCTAGACGGTTAATTTTAGAGGAAAACCGATTTTACATTCCTGTCTTAGATTTTCATAAGCTATCATTTGACACCAACTTTTAATTCAATCGGAGATTAAATTTAATTAGAAATTTTAATCATGGATTAAATTCAAGGTTGGTGTCAAATGATACCTTATGAAAATCTAAGATAGGAATGTAAAATCGGTTTTCCGCTAAAATTAACGGTTTAGGTTTTACAGCCTCTCAAACTTGCAAAAAAGTCAATTGTCAATATTTCAGAAACAGTTGAATTTAAGTATATGACATGTTTCATGAAAAATACTTAGAATTTTATCAGAAATCCGAAAATGTAAAAAAAATTAGGGGTATCTATTTAAAAAAATTAAGTCACTACCTGTCAAGCTTTTTTGCGACCACCCTGTATAATAATTTTATTTTTTTAAAAATGATCGATAAAAAAATAAATTTGACGTGTTCGAGGATTTTAAAAAAAAATTGCTTAGAAGAATAATTATTGAATTTATTCATTACTTTACGGCCGCACTGTATATTTCAATTTCAATTTCAATTCACATTTCTTATGGAAAAGTGATCTATGTGGAATTTGGCTGAATTTTTGATATTGTGTAGAGGCAGTCGTCCTTAACAAAAGTTAACATTGCGCTGATGCTTAATACCGAACAGTTTTTAAGATATCAATTAAAAACTTTTTTAATATAATACTCTTAAGTATGACGTCACCAATATGCTCGCAGCCCCAAAAATGATTACTATCCTTTCCACTTTCGACTTTGACTATACTCTTCTCGTTTTAACATTAGGAAATAATAAAAAAACAACAACAGGTACAAATGAAATCGCTATATGACTGACATGACATGACGTTGACGATTGCGGCAGGGCAGGAGCTAGGTGTTGTTTACCCATCAGGATGATAATTGTACACAATACACTTGTTTACCTACTTATTTGTCACTAATCGCTATGGCTATCTTTTTCTATTTCTTAATGTCAAAAGGAGAAGAGTCTAGTCAAAGCAAAACTGGAAAGGATAGTAATCAGAGTATTATATTAAAAAATTTTTTAATTGGTATCTTAAAAACTGTTTGCTATTAAACATTAGCGCAATGATAACTTTTGTTAAGCAGGACTCCCTCTACACAATATCAAAAATTCAGCAAAATTCCACATAGATCACTTTTCCATAAGAAATGTGCGGGGTCCTTTATAAAATTTTTACATTTGTCATTTATCATACTAATTTATCAATTAAACAATTAAATAAAACACAGTGTCACAACAGAAGATCAAAGTCAGCAGCAACATCCCTATCCAGAAATTCCCTATAATGATAAAAAATCTGGCCTAACAAATATTTCTTAACTACAGACTTAAATCGCTGAGCTGTCAACTCTCTTACAGAGACAGGCAGCTTATTATAAAAGACAGGAGCAAAATAAAGTGTTGCATTCCTTGATGTTCCTAGTCTGAGAAAATTAATCCTAATATTGTCGCGATCCCCGATAGCACGAAATATTTATTAAATATCCATTAAATATTTAATAATATTTATATCTTATTTAAATATTTATTATGTTAAACAAATATTTAATAAATATTTGGTTTATAATATTTTTATCAAATATTTAATAAATATTTTTTATTTATTTCAAATGCAATATTTCTTTTATAATATACATTGAATATTTCCTCTTTAACTGATGAAAAATATTATAAATCCATTATTTTTAAAATATTCGACAAATATTTGAAAAAAAGCAAAATGAGTTCTTGAAAAAAAAAAATTGTTCGGGTATCATAAAATAAGTACTAATTATAAACAGGCATACTTGCTCACATCGATTTTTCATTTGAAATTATAATTCGGAATTAAAAAAATGTGTTCGATAATCATTTGATTAAAATATTTAATGAATATTTTTCATTTATTTCAAATGCAATATTTTTTTTGTAATATACATTAAATATTTACTTTTAAATGAATGGCAAATATCAGAAATCCATTATTTACAAAATATTTAAAAAATATTATTTGAGAAAAATCCAAAATACCTACCAATACCTTCCTATTTTGTTTGGTGATGTAAGTATTCTAGTTTTTGTATA